TAGTTGTTTGTAGGATTTTTATTTTATTTTATTAAATACAGTATTTAAGTTAATATAAGGATATTTTGGTAATTTAACTTAGACTTAAGGACCTCTCGCTTTTAATATAGTACTAGTCTCTATACTCGTGCGTTGCACGAATATCTTGTGTCAAATATTACAAATATGTACCATAAGTAATTATTAAAGTTAGATAATGAGTTGCTTAAAATAGAAGTTATATATATATGTAATGCAAACCAAATCATAATAATGTTGTGATAATCAAATAATAAATTGGAACTAAATAGTTTAAAATTACAAAATGAAACGAATAAATTTATAAGTCGGTTAAAGAATGCAATAATATTTAATTTTAATTTTTATTCAAGTTGTTTATCGTGACAAGTATAGTAAGTTTATCCAAATTCATAATTATTTTCAACTTTACCAGTTGTAGTTGTTTTAAAAGTTCTAGGTATTAGTAGAGTAGGAATTTGTTGTCGTCATATGTGGAGTTTTAATCTGGAAAGAATTCTATTCTTAGGTAATATATTTGGAATATTACAATTATATCCACCTTTAACTCAAAATATTAAGGGAATAAAAGTCTATCAAAGTTTCGAGGATATTTTAGTCATCTAACATTTAACATAAATTATTCATGTTTTTATAATAATATAGACTAGTTATAACGTATTGCACGTGTCAATAAACTAAAAATTATATACAAAAGAAACAAATTATATAAAATAGCAATAGATGTTATAATAAATGCAACATTTATTTATATGACAAAATAATGTTAACATTGAGTCAGTTGCGAAATTCAAAGTAATCAAGTAACTTCTAAACTTGCAATAATCAATAACTTAGTGAAGTATAGAATATTATATTTATAATTAGCTATTTTATGTTATGAGATAATATGCATCATACGGTCATACCTAATATATTTTGATAGATGATGTTCTTAGTGTCCGTTTCTTTACGTTGCTTCGGCTGCTTTGTCATGACCCGATTTTTTTTTTATTGATATTGATATTCCTCGAAAAATATGTTGCAACAAATATAGCTCAACGTTGAGCTATAAAATAAAAGTGTGATTTTATAAAGTTGGTATAAAAGATTTTGAGACAAAGAGGATACAAATTCAACTACCATAAATTTATAAATTATATCCAAACCATTATCGGAAAGAAAAGACAATTCAAAGATATTCAATATGTTAAATAGAATAGGTTTCTCCTTTGTTTCGTTCTCTTATATGGATTAAATTTTTTTTCCTTTTCCAATTCAAATATTTTACTTAGACGAATTTATCAAGAGGACTTTCAGTGGCATTGGTTTCTGCTATGTAAAACAAAAAAAATTCTAAATAATTCTACTCGTTACAGTAGGATCCCAAGTGATCATGGACATTTAGAAATAATAAAAAGAAGAAGAGAATCCTCTTAACTGATGAAAGGCAGAGGGATATAAAATAACCAATCAATGTAATTTGCAAAAGAAATAAACACAATCACAGATAATTTAATTCACCAACCGATCATCTATAGTTTTTGAAGAGCATCAACTTATATACCTGACAGCAAAAAGATTTGTATAAATCAACCAAATAAAAAGCACCAAATATCAATGACTCTATTCTTAGTTCTCTCACAATATTATTGCAAAAATCCAGGTGAATAACAAATACACGTATCAATGCTAACTCAAATTCTCTGTTCTGCTTCTTCTATATACACGATGTTACGGAAAGAAAAAAAATTGGCTTAAAAAGAAAATTTGAAAACACACAAAGCTGGAGATTGAATGAATCTAGTAGCGGCTGCAACTTCGAACTATGATAAAGTTCTTGCAGATTTTGGAATTGTAACTCCTTTTATAAAAGCGTTGTCAAATATACAAAAAGTCGGATTCATAAACGAAAAAGAATTTGAGTAGGACACAATCTGTAGGAGACCACCTAATGTAAAGAAGACTCCTATATGATTTGTACATGCTTACGGTATTAACGGAATTTTTTTATTTTTTTCAAAAAAGATATAGTATATTATTAGTGTTTATATATAATTACAGTTTTATCCAACTTAAAACATACTTACGAAGGATAAAAAAAATCAAACAACATTTCGATATAACATTCGTGCTTTTAATATAGTATATAGATATAGATATAAATTTAACTTTGACTTAAAGACTTTTCACTAAATATAGTATAGATTAAGTCCATCGATAAAACTCTAAAAGGCACAAGGGAACTTCATTTTTCCTTCATGGCATCATCATTTGTAGTATTTTCTTGCCTTCGGAGGCATTAAATAAATTTCGTTATATAGTATCTTCTTCTTAAATTGTTTTTCCTTTTTTTCGCTCTCTTGGCATGAGGTTCAATATGCACACATGAAATAATTGAAAAAGATGATAGCATGGACGCAAGAAATTATGACATCTCTCATTCTTTGTGGAGTGTTAATCACAACTTTGTTTCAATTGTGGGGTATCCTAACCCAACGGAGAAGTGATTTTTTTTAGTCTATTCAAGTTTCCTAAAGGATTATTATTGATAATAACATTATACATTACAATGAGATGTTANCCAACCCAATTTATTTTTTTGCTTTGAATTGATAATCGTTCTCTAAGTTTCTACGAAATCTGAGTTTTCCGTTAATTTAAGTATTTTGTTAATAGTCTCACATTGGATCGGTAAGGGTTCCTTGTATATGGGTTAAAAATTATCTTTCATATGATCAAACCATGTTAACATTAATTAGGAGGCACTCACAGACTGCCACATGTCATTAGTATGACTTCAACAAAGACCCGTCCGAGGTCGAAGCGGTCCCTGAAGCGATGAAGGGTGTGGTCAAAGAGTCAGCGAAGATCAAGGTCGAGAAGTCATCGTAGATCAACATCGAGGTCGAGCATCTTAGACAGAGTTATAACAGCTAGTTTTAGGATAAGACACAAAAGAGAATATTCTAGTAGATATTCTCTGTACCTGTACTATTAGGGTTTTTAGGAATATGTTCTCTATAAATCGAAAGAGACACAATGATATGGGGCATGAGATATTTAGTACTTATAAGAAAACACATTGACTTTATAGAGAGAATCTAGCCATATTACAAGCATACGACAACAACCTTTTTACTAAGATTCTTGTCTAACTTTTTCACTTGATCCAAGAACAACCTTAGTGTTCAAAGTCTCGTCAATCATTCATCATTGTCAGAAAGAATATCCACAGATTCCACCCCTTTTCGGGTGACTCACACACTTTTATTTACTTAAATGTCATTCATTGCTACTTATTATTATTTAATGCTACTTCCACCTTTTGGGATCATTGAATACTGTTATTATTGCTCATATTTATTGCCATTCGATCAAATATACATAATATCCGCCATAAAATCAATAACCTTGTCTTTTGGATATTAATATTAGCTAAAATTGACTCTATTTTATTTAAATTTAATTGGTTGACCCCAGATCTAAATTTTTGGGTCAAACAGTTTGGCACAGTCTGTGGGGATTTCTTAGCAAATTTGTTAGTTTCCTTTAGATATACAACTCACGTGAGTCACTAACCTAACAAACCACAAAATCTCTCTTTCTTTGCACGTACGGAAACCTACATGGCAGGTAGCCAAGGAGATAGGACTAAAGTAACAGATGACTTCCCTGGCAACCTCATGAACGCTATCAACGATAATAGTGAAATACTAGGCGATGACGTGGCACCCACTGCCTCCCCCAGGCGCGAGAGGTCGCCTCCCCCCATTGCAGCATAACAAAACCAAATAGAAAAGGGGCCTCCGCGTCCATTGGAGAGGGTACGCCGCTGGCCATGAAAAATCTCCTCGAAGCATGGCTAACCAATACGTTAGTAAGCGTTCTCAACAGACCTGCTCCATGCACGACCATAGAAACAGCAAGAGCCCATATAATGAAACGAGCAAACGAGCTCACAATATTACTAACAATGCAGGTGACAGTGTCCTCGCCGCCGTTCTAAAGAGGATGAAAGAAATGGAGAATGAAAACAAAACGCTCAAAGATCAAATGAAAGAACACCAAGAACGAGTCGACAAGAAACTGGACGCCCCTAAGCTACTTCCAAAGAGGGACGCCGATAGATTCATAGAACAACTATATAGCGAGGAAGCAGCCCCATATTCCATACCAAAGACCTTCAAAATGCAGCCATATCTCAGGATATACGACGGAACAGCTGACCCTGAAGATCACGTGACTCATTACGTCACCGCCGTGAAGGACAACGACCTCACCAAGGAATAAGTGTCCTCTATTTTGCTGAAGAAATTTGGCGAAACCCTCACGGGGGGGAGTATTAACATGGTATTCACAGCTACCAACCCATTCCATAGAAACCTTCGAAGAAATGGCCGATAAGTTCGTAACGGCGCATGCCGAGGCCAAGAAAGCCGAAACAAAAGTAAGCGACATCTTCACCATCAAGAAGTCCTTAGGAGAGGGACTGAAGGACTTCCTTGCCTGATTCAACAAGGTAAGTATGACCCTACCAAACGTGTCCGAAGGGATGGTAGTCGCGACCTTTCAGAACGGGTTGAGTAGAGAAGGTTCAAGAGTGACCAGAAAATTGCTGAGCCGGTTGATGAAGTTCCCTCAATCCACTTGGGATGAAATTAACAATGCTTACTGTGCCAAAATCGGAGCATATGATGACGACCTCGTACCAACTCACGGCTCGTCTCGGCACAAGCCGAACCCAGGAAAAAATAAAGAGACAACATAAAGAGGGATCACCCGATCTCACGACCAAATAGGGAACGACATCAACCATACGTCAGGGCCCCCGCCCCGTATTCCTTCCATTATGATAAAGGCCCATCTAGGCCGACGACGGGGACTCATCGGAACGAGATAGGTATGCCCCCTTATTGTCTGCTCACAAATTATTTTTGTCACCTACAGAAATAGTCTATGCCTTGGAAAAACTCGTAACGAAGGAGAAGTGGCCGCCAATCATGAGGTTCGACCCAAGCACCAGAAAATCTGACGTTGTCTACGAGTTCCACCAGGAGCTCGGACACAAGATAGAAGACTGCATCGCCCTTGGGAGAGAGGTTGTAAACATGTTTCATCAGGAACACCTCAAAGAACTGCTGAGCGACACGGGGAGAAATAACTTCGCTAGAGGTCGTGAACGCCAAGGCCCACCGAAGCCCCCATCGCCAACTCGCACCATCAACAAGATCATCAGTGGCTGCGACGAAGCCTCCATCAATGTCGTCAAATTCACTGCCACTCACAAGCTCAAAAGATCTATCACCCACGAACGGTATGATGGACTCGAAGAAAGTATTATCTTCAATGAGTTAGATGCCGACGGTTTGACTTTCCTTCACAATGATGCTCTTGTCATTAATTTACGAGTTTTAGATACTGATCTCAAAAGTATCATGGTAGACGATAGGAGTGGAGCGTGCATTATCCATCCCCGAGTCCTCACCCAGATAAGACTCGAGGACAAGATAGTGCCACACTGCATCATACTAACCGGTTTTAATAATGCAGTTGAATGGACATCGGGTGAAATTACACTCTCTGTCTTGGCCAGTAGCATAACTCTAGAGACAACTTTCCACATTATGGACCAGGCCATCGCATACAATGCTATAGTAGGATGACCATGGATACATCCCATGAGAGTCGTCCCCTCCAGCATATCCCAAGTAATCAAATTCCCAACACCTTGGGGGATATTCAGCATAGGGGAGAACAACGCACATCTCGAGAATGTTACCGCATCGCCTTAGACAACACAACAACCTAACAGAAGAAAGACAAGGAAAAGAGGCATAGCAATCAACAGGGTGGAGGTCAATGCAAGACGAGACCAGGGATGTCATCATGGATCCCGAAACGGTTGAAGCTGCAGACTCAACTATAGAGGACCTCGACCCCATTCAATTAGACCCCAGCAACTCCAGCAAAAAGGCCTACATCGGCTGCAAACTCCGAGAACCAGGTAAATTCATTCAATTTTTAATAACTAACGCAGATTTGTTTGCCTTCAGCCAAGCAGATATGTCGGGCATCCCCATAGAGTTCTCCACACACAAATTAAACTTCAATCCATTCTACCTCTCGATAAGGCAGGTCAGATGAAAATTCAACCCTGTCATCAATGGTATCATCCACGAGGAGGTGGAGAAGCTATTAGAAAATGGCTCCATCAGGGAGTCGAAATACCCCAAGTGGATCGCCAACGTAGTGATGGTCAAAATGAAAAATGGGAAATCGAGGATGTGTGTTGACTTCACGGACTTGAACAACGCATGCCCGGAGGATTAGTTACCATTACCACATATCAACCAACTCATCGACGCGATAGCCGGGCACGAGCTGTTGAGTTTTTTGGATGGATACTCTTAGCTATAACCAGATACTTATGGAAGAAGAGGACCCGGAGAAAACCACGTTCATCACCCACCGAGGAACATATTGCTATAGGGTCATGCCATTCGAGCTTAAGAACGTAGGAGCTACCTATCATAGATTAGTCACAAAAATGTTCAAAGATCATCTTGGCAAGACCATGGAAGTATATATCAACGATATGTTGGTCAAATCCGTAAAGGCGGAGAACCATATCGACCATTTGAAGGAAGCTTTTGACAAACTGAAACGGTACAGAATGAAACTATACCCAGAGAAATGCTTGTTTGGCATAGCCTTGGGGAAGTGTTTGGGCTTCTTAGTGTCACTACGGGGGATCGAGGTCAACCCAGACCAAATCAAAGCTATCGAAGGTATACCGGAGAAACTGATAAGAAACAGGTCCAAAGGTTGACTGGTCGACTCGCCACCCTATCGAGATTTATCTCACGGTTATCCGACAGATGTCACAAATTTTTTGGCGTACTCAAAAAGGATAACGACCTTGAGTGGACACCCGTGTGCGTACAAGATTTACGAGAGCTAAAGGCGTATTTGTCATCACCACCTCTGCTATCAAAGACCGAACCCGGGGAGCATCTACTCATCTACTTGGCCATCTCCGAAGTGGAAGTAAATGCAGTCCTGATACGAGAAAGTAAAGGTAAGCAATCTCCCATTTATTATATTAGCAAACACTCATCGACGCCGAAACGAGGTACCCACACCTCGAGAAACTAGCCCTGGCACTGATCATAGCTCAAGAGAGCTTAGACCCTATTTCCAGTGCCATCATATCTCGGTCGTTACCACCTTTCCTCTGAGAGGCGTTTTACATTAACCCGAATTATCGGGGAGGCTGGCCAAATGGGTTATCGAGCTAAGCGAGAACGATATCATATATCAGTCGCGAACAACGATAAAGTCACAAGTTTTCATTGACTTTATCGCAGACTTCAGTGCAATAATGCCTGAGGTCGAGAAGGAAGTCATCTAAGCTTCTCTCCAAACACAATGCCTCTGGGTAATATACACCGACGGCACATCCAACTCTTTCGGATCCGGACTGGGACTAATACTCAAGGTCCCTACCGGCGAAATAATTCACCAGTCCATAAAATGTCCAGATATGACTAGCAACGAGGCTGAGTATGAGGCCGTAATTGCAAGATAGAGACTAACACTCAAGTATGGGGCGAAGCGGTTAAAGCTCTGTTGTAATTCCTAGCTTGTAGTCAACCAAATCGCATAGACTTTCCAAATCAAAGAACAAAGGTTGCAAAAATATCAGACCAAAATCTGCAAGTTACTGTCCAAGTTTGACGAATGCCAGCTCGACCAGATCCCGCGTGCAAAGAATGTTGAAGCGGTTGGCCTCGCCAAATTGGCCGCAACCACCAAAAACATCACGGCCGGGGATAAAAGTGTGGCCCACCTCCTCAACTCGTCGCAAGACCAAATCGAGGTAAGATCTGTAAGTTTAACTTGGGATTGACGCAATCATATTATCGCGTACTTGAAGGATGGCACACTCCCAAACAACAAAAAAGAAGACAAAAAAACTCAAAATGCAGGCATCCAGATACAACCTCCTCCACAGCGCCCTATACAAGAGGACATATAGTGGCCCTCTAGCAAAATGATTGGGCCCAAACCAAACCCAGTGCATCCTCGAATAAGTCCATGAAGGCCATTGTGGCGCTCATTTCAGCGATCGAGCGCTTGTTAGGTGCCTCATACGGGAAGGATACTACTGGCCCACCATGAAAAAGACGGCTCAGATTTTTTGAAGAAATGCGAACAATGTTAGAAATACGCCCCAATAATTCACCAAGCAGGCGAGCATCTTCACTCAGTTACCTCTCCATCGCTGTTCATCAAGTAGGGAATGGACATCGTGGCCCCCTCCCAGCAGAGCAAGGTAATGTACGATTTCTTTAAGTTTTAACTGACTATTTCTCTAAATGGGTGAAAGCAGGAGCATTTACCTAGATACGCGAACAAAAAGTAATCACCTTCATATCGAAAAATATCATCTGCCGATTCGGCCTACCTAAAGAGATCAACTGCGACAATGTATCCCAGTTTACGGGAAAGTAAACCGCTGAATTCTTCGAGAAATGGCATATCAAGATGATACTTTCAACCCCGTATTACCCAGCGGGTAACGGGTAGGCAAAATTCTCTAACAAGTTGTTGTTAAACATCGTGAAGAAAAATCTCGAAGACGCCAAAGGACTATGGCCTGAAATACTCCCAGAAGTATTATGGGTATATAGAACCACCCCGAAGACAAGCAGAGGAGATACACCGTACTCTCTGGTCTACGGAACCGAAGCAGTCACACCAGTCGAAGTAGGAGAACCCAGCCTAAGGTACTCACAGGAAAGCGGCACTAGTAATTATGAGAGTAAAAGGCAAGAACTCGATGAGATCGACGAACGAAGAGATATGGTGTACATAAGGATGGTCACCCAAAAGAAGCAAGCGGGACGTTACTACAATAAGAAAATAAGGGTCCGGCTGCTCAAAGTCGGGGACTACGTACTCAAAGCCAAAACCTAAGCAAGCAGAGATCCACGAGAAGGCAAACTGGGAACAAACTAGGACGGTCCGTACAAAATTACAGCCAAAGAAAATAAGGGTTCATTCCAACTAGAGACAACGGAAGAAAAATAATTACCAAACAATTGGAACATTAGCCACCTCAAATACTTCAACTTCTTAAAGGAAGAAGCATCCCCAAGTCGTAATCTTTTTCCTCACTTGAGTTTTGTCCCATTAGGGTTTTCTCGAGGAGGATTTTAATGAGGCGACTAATGGGACACTTCGAGTCGAAGTATGCGAGGAGGGACTACTTTCTCTATTATTTCCCGACTCCTCAAAACTCTCCAAGTCGAACAATGAAGGGACTAGATAGACTAGGACTGGAACACTAGCCAATGTCCAAAGTTTGTAACTTTCTCCAATCATGTAATCAGAGCAACAACTTCAAAGTAATAGAAACTTATGTTTTTCAAAATCGCTTTAACAAAAGGTCAAGTTCGACCTAGCTCGAACAACACCTATCGGCCCTCGGCCGTACCTTAATAAAAGGTTAAGTTTGACCCAGCTCGAACAACACCTATAGGCCATCGGCCGCACCTTAACAAAAGGTTAAGTTCGACCCAGCTCGAACAACACTTATCGGCCCTCGGCTGCACCTTAACAAAAGGTTAAGTTTGACCCAGGCCCTCGATCGCACCTTAATAAAAAGTTAAGTTCGACCCAGCTCGAACAACACCTATCGGCCCTTGGCCGCACCTTAATAAAAGGTCAACTTTGACCCAGATCGAACAACACCTACCGGCCCTAGGCCGTGATTTAACAAAAGGTTAAAATTTGACCAAGTTCGAATAACACCTACTGGCCCTCGGCCGCGATTTAACAAAAGGTTAAAATTCGACCAAGTTCGAACAACACCTACCGGCCCTCAGCTTCGATTTAACAAGAGGTTAAAAGTTGACCAAGTTCAAATAACACCTATCGGCCCTCGGCCAAATTTCGATAGAAGGTTAAATTTAACCAAACGAGAAGCCAAGTCCGACCAAGTTCAAACTTAACCGATTCATCCTCAGACATACTCGATCTATACAGACAAATGGATGATTTAGCCTCTAGCTATTCAACCCAAGGACTACGACAACAAAAATATGAAGGAGCAAAACACGCAAAGTACAGAAACAAATCACGGCAAATAAGAAAGGCACAAATGAAAGCAAAAACTAACTTTGATATTTATAGAAGATTTTTTACAAAGGCTCCTGAAGACGCCAGCAAAAGTACACAAAATGATAAAAACAAACTACTAGTGGCCATCGCCATCACGACCCACATCATCCTCACTGGTCCAACCCTCAACAACGTCGTTTCCCTGACCGTCAATGCCTTCACCTCCCCAATCTTCAGCGCCCTCTTCATCCTCGCCCGGAGGGTAAATAGAATTGTACCAGGCCTTATCCTTAGGTGATCTATAGCATCCTCCCCGTTCTCATTTTCTTCGCTAGGGTGAGGCGTGGTCGGGTCATAGCCACAAGCAACCCGAGCCTCGCAAGCCTTGACCCGAGCATCCTCAAAGTCTGCCTTAAGAACGGAGCCCGCCACATGCAACTCACGAAGCACATTCGGTCTGGCTTCGTCATACATCCATTCTCCATACAGCTCACAGGGGACGTTGGGGAATCCAGAAGTAGTAGACGAAAAAGGCCGT